CACCCCCCACCCGGGCCCCCACTCTCGCGCTTGCAACTGGTGGCTCTCCCTCCATCCCTTTCCCCGCCCCCTCCAGCAGGGGCGGCGTACAAAACCATCGCACACCGCGTCGCTGGCCCCACTCATCGTGACAGCGTCCGAGGAGACCACCTGCTGGCAGCCCTTAGTGGAGCCGAGTTAGTAGAGCCGAGCAGAACCGATAGCACAGCCCGTAGTACAGCCGGGACGAGCAGTCGAGCGCCCCTGATCGAGCCGAGCCGAGTCGCCCAGACCCCCTAAGCAGGCACCGCGGAACGAGCCCAGCCCAGGGCCCAGGAACAGCACCACACCCCATCCATCGTCCCGGATACGTCAGACAGAAACAGGTGAGTCCGCTGCGCTGCCTCGCGTCTCCTCTCCTGCTCAGCGCGCGTTCACCCAATAGTGGATTATTGTAAAATCGGCGTGATAAAAGTGCATTTATTTTTTCGTGAGAAATAATAGTTGTTGGTCGGAAACATTTCCTTTCTCTTGTCATTTTAAATCGAGTTTTTCAAAATTATAACTAAAGAGGGGGTACATTGGCACGAGGACGAGGGGTCACCGATTGACCTGACCCGTCAAATATTAGGTTGGTATTATAAAGTAGTATTAAGTATTAACGGGCATTATGAGGAGTAGGTCTATTGGTCTATTATACAGTCTGAAAAATACCCTCATGAATTTTCGATATATATTCTGTAAATTACAATTCACAAAATTTGTGAATTGATGACAAACCCTTGCTCGTCGATGGATCCAAAGTCGATGCGTACAACTCGGACTTTCACAATTTGAAATAGTAATTTAACGACACGCTTCATGGAAAACTTACAACTTACAAACCCGTAAAACCTACAACTATGTTTAACACTGATGGGGTATATGAGGTATTTTGTCGGCTATTAAAAATTATTATGGATGCATTTTGGGTCCAGTGTACGGAGTATTATATGCAAGTTAGTGACCGTTCACCTGAGCAATAAGACTACAGACTACAGTACCAAACGCGCGAAGACAATACCCGAACTTCAATGATTGGCGATGATTTCTCGCGTGGTGTGTGTGTGGTGATTTCTTCTCTTTGTTTTTAATTACGCGACTATGCAAATATTGCGAGAAAAACCAAAGGAAATATAGAGTCTCTCTTCGTTTCGTATTACCCAAGGCGGGGCGCAATTAGGAGGTTCCTTTGTGACATCGGATCACTTCCCAAGGCGTCGAGCCGCGCCGTGCGTGGGCGGCGTGGGCGCACGTGCGCTCGGAGCGACGCGCAGCGCGCCCCGGTCCGGTTGCGGTCTTCTCAAGGTAGAGATGATAACACCGACCAAAGGAAACACAGAAAGCGAGGAAAGCATACCGCGACTCGATTCTAATGTGTTTGAACCCTCAGGGATCGCGGTGTCCGTCTTCTCTCATCCTGATCGCGGACAGAGACGAACAGGCCGATGCATTCGAAAGCGCGCGTTCTTGCAGCGGGCGCCCGCCTGCCCGCCCGCCCACGCCCTCCCTCCTCGCTCCTCCAGCTACCTGCTCTCCCTCATCCTGGCTCTCCTTTTCTCTCCGCCCAATCATCAGCGGTGCGCCTGGACCGTGCATGGTGAGGGCTTGGCTGGAGCTTTTCATTTTGAATGAGGTGGCCAAGCCCAGTTGCTGCCCAACCCAACCCCCCAGGGTGCGGTCGTGTGGTGTGTGGTATGTGGCCTCAGTCAGGGCAGCTGAGAGCTGAGCACCCTCTGTGAGCTCTGTGTGTGCACCTCGGTGCAGAGGCCGCTCCTCTCGTGCGCTCGAGTAGCTCTGATAGACCGCTGTACTCGGTGGACGCGCGCCCGCTGCACCGACGCGCCGCGCGTTCCCCACCCGATACTGCATCAAACACGACGAGGAGACTGAAGTGACGGAGAGTAGCGGCCCTTTTGCCTTTGATCAGCGCGCGGGAAGTTTTGCGGGCGAGATGGGGATGGGGAGAGGGGGATTCACTCTCACAAAGGGAAGTGAGCCTCCACGCGCTATCTAAGCACGAAACTTTGCGTGCGTGGTCGTACCTCTAACGCACCTTCGCACTCCCCTGAAGGAAAAAAAAAAAAAAGAAAAACGGTTTGCAAGCGGTATATACATTTTATTATGAGTGTACTCGGTTTAGGACAAGAGGGCTGAGGTTCACCGACTACTTTGTCCTCAGCCCCGCGGACTCAATTCAAGACACGTATGTGTCGGGTGTCGCAGACGTGCCGGGTGCAGCGCTCCAGCCAGTGAGTTTGCTTGTTAACTGGAAAAGAGTCCTGAAGGTGCTAAAATAGTGGGGTCCTTTGGCAATTTGAAAAATGCAGCTGTAACGGCATTGGATTGGGGCGTTATACCCTGAACACCTTTCAAAAGGTGCGACTCCGCAACTTTATTCTTCTAGTGTTTGCCTGGCTACCTTCGTCCCTCCGTTCGTAAAAGAGCAACGTCTGCCTCAGACGTTAGAGTATGGCAAAACTAGTACAGGAGTATCCTCTGATACACCCGGTACTCTTTGGAAGTTCGCGTCATCTTAATGGAAACTACTAACCCCTTCCCCGCAACCCCCTCCCGCTTTGCACTGACCGCCCCCGCCTCGCCCTCCACTCGGCTCTCGCTCCCGTCCGCAAACATAGCGCGAGCAGGGAAACTCAAACCCTTCTTTTATTAAGAATGTCCGAGGCGTGTAACGTTAGAGATAGAGCGGGCCGGGCGATAGTCCAGTGGCTTCGCACCGAAAATCATAAGAATACTGCACGAAATGACTCATCTACCAAACTTTGCACAGTTGTTCTGGGGTCTATCCTGAACGATTTTGGGGCCAGAGGCATTTGATCCGACCGTGCAGACACCTGCTACGGCCAATTTTAGTCCAATATTTTAGAAATTTGCTTAGGTTCTCAAAGTTTGACCGATTGGCAACCAATTGTCCAATTTTGATGATCTAAGAGTCGTTTCCCACTAAGCGAGATGTGCAGAACACGGTGGTGTTTTCGGATTTTCGATATCTCAAATGGTTTGGGAGATATTCGACTTTGACTGACAAACATTACTTTTCGGAAAAGGTCCAACTTTCATTTTTTGCATTTTAATACCATTTCTGATCAAAATTCCGACAAAACACCTTCTCTGAACGCTGTAGCTCTGTTTCTTAGGAACAAAATGCACTAAACCGGAAGTCTGTAGCTCTTATACTTTTCTCGATACGGAAGTTTGAAGCGAGCGCCGCGCGCCGTGGTCGGCCTCGCCTGCAGGAGCAGCCCCTAAGGGGCAGATAAGCAACCCGCCGCACGCCGCGGGGGGAAAACTCTGCAAACGGGCTGTTTTAAGCCGTTTCTTTCTACAATTTCGCTTATAGTTGGTACTACCAGTGGTCAGAAAGGACGGTTTGGGGTTTGTTGTTCGCCGCAGTCGGAGGCAGATTCACGGAGTACCATTTTCTTTTTTGGAAGAGGCGTTTCGCTGATCTTTAGCTGATATGCTGGTGCAAAGGCGGATGCAAAACTGCTCCAGCTTCTTTATACAGCCTGCTGAAATAGACTGCACAGGATGTGAAATGTCAAGCAATGCCGGCTTCAGACAACCGAGTGACAACAACTAAAAAACATTAGTATTAGGGACACAAGGGCAGGGACTGGGAAGCCAAAACTGATTATTTATACCTCTTTACTACTTGGCGTTTCTTTTCTCGTTTGAGCTCTGTGTATTTAAACCCAAAAGCCCTGCGAAATTTGGCTTTGTGGGCAGCAAGTGTGATTGTAATGCCTGATCCATCATCTACAAATTTGGACATAACGTGGGATAGCATTTATATTTTCAAATTCAAGCAGATTTCGTTCAACGGTTTTGTAACCAGCATCGCGCGTTTTCATGTGATTTGGTCCAGGCACCCTGAAAAGCCTGTTCTTGTCACAAGGAAATGTACTTGATTCAAGTAAATGTACTTGCTGTCAGCAAGTACATTATCTTGAGGCGAGTAAATTTGCATCACGACAAACGCAGCATTCTTGTATCAAGAATGGGCTTTTATGGGGGTGACACTGGAGTGGCCCCGGACTATGACCAATTGACAAAATAGGCATAATATCCAGTCAAAAACATATTCAGCACCGAAAAAAATGACTTTGTTGTGGGGATCAATTATGTTCGGTAGGCAACCAACCCCTGCTTGTAAGTATCGGATTCTCGATTCCGGTTATAGAATTAAGCCTACCAAACAGAACTTACCCCCACAACAAAGTCTCTTTTTTTCGTGAGAGGAGGGTGGGTTAAAGAAATGGCGAGCTTTCTTTGCCTCTTGTGATGCCAAAAGGGGCAAAGAAAGTTTTGTTATTTGTTCCAAATTTTTACTTTCCAATAAATGGGCTAAAATGTAAT